GTGCGTGCGTGCGCGTGTGTTAGTGTGTGTGTGTGTGCGTGCGTGCGCGTGTGTTAGTGTGTTTGTGTGCGTGCGTGCGCGTGTGTGTGACGCGACCCACCTCACGATAAACCGCAGAGCGTTTTTCACGCGCCGTATTTTATACTCTCTCCCACCTTCCAGCAGTCGGACGGCGCTGTACGACCTAAATAAGGGGTGCGGGAAGAATAGCACACACTCACATCGCGTCGTCAATGGAAAACGCACGCAGCACGGCGCGAACACAGCGTGTATAGTAGGGGATGGATCGATCGTTGGCTTCATGCAGCAGCAGTAGCAGCGGGGGCGGCGGCAGCAGCAACACCAACAGCACCAACAACAGTATCTGCAGAAGCGCTATAGCATCTCGCACGCTCCCGTCTGCGACGCTGAGAGACGTACCCTGGTACCAGAGCATATAAATCAACGTGATTTATATGCTCTGCTGGTACTATATCTAATATGCCGGACCGTACCTCGCCTACTCCATGTGCACTAACGAGTCTAGGGAGTCGCCTATACGCCTACTCCCTAACCCTAACCCTAACCCTAACTATATCAGATAGTTACCAGGGTACGTTCCGGTATACCGGACCGTACCCAGGGTACGTTCCGACAGTACCCTGGGGGACATAGACCCTATGAGCTTCAGTCTCAATCGAGTTGCGTGCGTGCAATGACCATTGCTCGGACAACTGCTGTACGCATCTAGTCTAGTCATTCTAGTGGACAGCAAACGCGCGCGCACGTGCGCGCAGATCTCATGATAGGCGGCCGTGTGACGTGCCCGAGACCACCGATATCCTATATACATCGTGTTTATATGATATCTATGAACGAGAAGACGAGCAAGGAATCACACAAATCCGCATTCGAGCACGCGTATGGCGTTCGCTGGCGCCATCTACCGAGGGTAGTCGATGTAATCACCATCCGAATTGCCGCTGCCTGTGCGCTGCACACACCCACGCTCGCCGATATACGCTGATAGGCAGGAGCGGTGACGGCGGCGGGTGCGGTTTGTCTCGTGGTGTGCCCGGTAGCTGATGTGACCGTGTGTGCGTGCGTGTGCGTGCGTGGTTACAGCGGGAGGCGTGCATGAACCCCCAGAGCAACGACACGACCGGTTAACGATTGCACTGACGCAATTAACGATAGCAGAGGACGTCAGCACACGGCAGGTGAACAGATAGATAGATAGATGGTGTGCGTGTAAGCCATTTTTCCCAGTCGGGAGACATATTGACGGGCGCCTATATGCGTGTGTGTGTGTGTGTCGCGTGTCGCGGAAGCATGGGTATGGAAAATGGTCACGAAAAATAATTCTGAAGGGAAGCATTGATGTGTTGCAGGAAGGATTCATGTTAAGAGGGCATTAGTTTCCCACGCTCGTGTAACAGTGTTAGCGGACGAACGCAGGCAGTACGCTTGCTATACTACTAATTTGCTATACCTCCATCCTGAAATGTAGTCGTACGTTAATTGCTTCACGTGCATGTCGGTACAGGGTTCACACGACGCAAACGTGTGGCCTGGAGCGACGGCCAATGCTCAAATACGGTATTACACTGTGTACGGCCACGTTGCGACAGTCCGAGCAGCAGGGAACAGAGGTGATGTGTGCATGAAGGACAACGAATGAGGTGTCTGCTTAATTATTATTACCTCCTGGAATCAATCACATAATAACCTGGATCGCATGGCGTATTCTCTCATTTCATCTATTCGTCGTACTAAATAGACTATAGTTCGTTTGTGTAACCGCGTATGAGAGATGTAACATAATATATACGGGTACGGGCACACCGAGTTCTGCATTGAATAGCACAGTGGCGTCACCTGGCGAATAAACGCGTTCGGTTCCCGTTGTATACGGTGTTTCACTGTTTTTTTGACGTTCTACGGTTAACAAGCTCGTTAACAAATGACGAAATTACACTAAAGCACAGGCAGGGCGTTTCATAATAACGGACACGGAGACATTTCTTCAACGATGTTCCAATGTAGTTTAGTATGCAAATATCAAAGCATCTGTACTGAAATGCATTTCATTTGGAATTCCAACATTGTGATGTCGTTTCTGACACAATACACTGGAAGTTGGCCATTTTTTGACGTACAGCTGGTACGATTAGTGTTGGTATTCGTTACTTTAGCATGTCTTAAAAGTTCTTTTTAGCAGCTCACAACTCTACTTCTGCCTTTTGTAACATTATTCGGCACCTGTTGACAAGGTAAGTATAGTTCCTGCAGTCGCATAAGTTGTGGTTTCAGTTTTTGAATTCAATTTGACATCTGTCGTGTTTAATTTTTAAAGCAAAAGTAGCTCTCTATATAAATGAGTGTCAATGACACTGTAGCTCACCACAAAAAAGTACACAAATGAGTGAGTGAGAAGAAGTCAGTTTTAATTGAGCAACCATCGACGTACATTATAGAAACGAAGAGTATATATGGGAGAATTCCCATTATATACTCTTGATAATTATGTGTAATTTTTTATGTGAAAATAAATGTTTGAAATGTGAGTCTGAAATGAGGGCGAGTGATGGCGTTACACCTAAATGATTGCCATTTAACGTTTTTATA